GTAGTGTACATGCATCGAGCTACGAAAAATAAACGTTGTTATTCTTTTGTCTTTAACAATAATTGATTGATCTCATCATATGTTTGAATTATTCATCAAGATTAGACTTTTAGTTTTAATTGATAAAGTTTTTATAAACAAAAGATACAAGAAAGCAAAGACATGTTTTTTATTGAAAGAAGAAACACAAAATTGCAAGCGTATCCTTTAAAATAAAAAGATGCCAAGAATTTAATAAATTATTACAATATTCTATGATAGAGTACCTACTTCCACTGTTGATCCCCCATAGCTACCGTATCCAGCGTCACGGATCTACTTACGGATACTTGTCCACACAGTCTCCGCCAGCGTCACCACAGGGTTCGGTACATCTGTAAGTGCTCTTCTCTTCACAATTTTTGCACTCTCTTTGAGTATAACACTATTTCCCACTCCCAGATGTACAGTATCTCCAACAAAAGTTATTGAAGAACCATCGACTACTACATCCAGCGATTCCCACGGAATCTGAGAACCCTATTGCCAGGGCAACGGTGAGTGAGAGGAAAACGAACGAAGTGAAGGATTTCATTGTTGCGGACGATAAAAGTGGTAAAGGTTGTTTGTCAGAAGATTAATGTTTCCTAAAAGCAAAGAAAAATAAGGAAAGTTACATTAGTTATGTATCAAAAATTTTGGAGTCATGTAGCAGTGGCTTACTCCCATTACCCAGAATGTTCGTAATCCAGAAACGGTAAAATATCTCATTATTCCGAAAGTGATAGTGCTATAACTACATTGTTGCCACTCCAATTCTTACCTGCATTTACGATGAGATCTAATACAGACGTTTAAAAATATTCGTTTGAAACAGAAGGAAATAAATAATGTATCCATTTTAAAATTAGAAATAAAAGACGCGTAATTATATTTGCAATGAATAAATGGTCTCGTAAGCAAATTCTGTTTCTTTAAGCTTCTTCTTGTGATTCGTCCGCTAGTATTTCATTGAAGTATGATTTAGTTGTGCTTTATTTGTTTCTATTATTCGAATACTGATAATTAATATTTTACTTCTTTAGAAAGGAGGAGGGCAGATAAGGGTAGTTTCTATCCCCCAATATTTTTCAGATTTTTCTATTGGAATCATATCAGGGCATGCCTAAGAACATTTCCTGACACTTAGTTTCGCAAAATCTTTCCATCGTTTTTTGGAGGCCTGTGGTCTTGGTCCTCCTCAAGGATTTTGGAAATTTTTTTTTTGATCAACTTGCATTCCACATAAGAATATGTAATCAAGCGTGCTGATCACGAATATGAACATCGGAGCGCACAGAAAGTTTCGGTTCAAGCAAAAAATCAAAACTATTGACTTTTTTCAAAATCCTTTAAAATCGAGTATAACTTCGTTTTTTTCTTCTGGCAGCACGGAAATATTCATAAAAGCACACCAATCGACACAGAAGTTCAAGCTGAATCGATTGATGTAATTTTAGAATACTTTTGAAGCTGTTCAAGCAGAAAAATCCGAAATACGGCTGAAAAACAGGTTTTTCACTAGTATCTTGTTGGTTTTGACCCTTTTGCACACCTTCTTTTCAATTTTTGAGGTTGCCATTGGATAGAACATGCAAAGTTGCATCTACTGACTAAGTTTCAAGTTGCACGAGCTATGTTAAAGGTAGAGTGCTGCCAATCGCAGTTCACGATAAGCAGATGAAATGACACACATGTCATCACTGTCAGTGTAATATCTTATGGCTATATTTAATGGTTCAAAAATTCAAAAGTCTTCTTTTCATCTAAATTCAGTTTTCCATTTACATGGTTATATTCGATTCAGTAAAGAGAGTGATATTGGGAGATCATCATTAACAGCGTCTATTACTTGCGGCTACACTTAGAAAACTCTTTGAATGGTTTAAAGAATGGCAGTACTAGTGTTCAACTTAAATGGCTCAATAATGTGTATCTATATTAATATAAGGAAGAATGTGGCCTAACTTTCTTATTATGAACAATTAACCCGTTAACTGCTATGAGCGTATATATACGCCCAAGTAAAAATGTAACCAAGTTTGCTTCCTTTTGTGAAAAAAATCGTTTTTCTCGTTATTGTGTAGCACAGGGAGAAGGCACTTACATATATTGAATTGTGCTTAAGGGTTAAGAAGAGCATGAAAAATGACTATTATAGAAAAGATGCATCTATAACTACGAAGAATATCAATTTCAATAATTGATTAATAATTGATCTTAGAAAATGTTCTTCTCCACTGACTAGACATAAAAAATTGTTAACATTCTCTGAACTAAATCACACTATCACATACACAATTGAAAGAAAGATCACAAAACTATTTTAATTAACGAGAAGATTAGCATAAGTGGAAAAAAAAGAACGTGTTTAATTCATTGAAAAGAATTACAACCCAGGTAAACGCAAATGAGATATTAATGAGCCATTAATGGCCAGTTAATGTATTGACAGAAGGATAATCAATTAATGATAGAAAAATGACCTAGTTATAAACTCATTTATTGGTCATTTTATGATCATTATTAAAAATGATATAAAAGTTGGCCATTAATGATTAAGTCAGAAAAAACGCGCAAAAAATGATCATAAAATGATGATTCAATAATGCTCATTTCAAAGTCATTTTTATGATATTAGTTTAACATCATTTAGAATCCTTATCTTGTAAACTAACTTTAGGCCAGAAAATGACGAGCTTTTTACACTAGCAATGTAAAACGTTTGACGAAACGTATCAGAGGTTAACGTTGTTGATACTGTATCGATAAAATATAGAGATATGTGATGAATGAAGAGCAAATGGACTGATTTGTGTATTTACATACCAGTCACAAGTGCCTCACTGTTGATTTTTTTGTTTATAACAAAGACTTCATTATTACAATATCCTTTTTCTCTATCTTTCGTCATGTTTCACACAGAATTACTTTGTCAGATAACAGGTTCGACAATGATCATACATAAATAAGGACAAGACAAGACAGACTCGTCGACACATGATAACAATGGACAACACATGGTTCAGCATTTTAATTCGTTGTAGTCGTTTTTTCTCTCACAATAAATAGACAAATAAGTAGTTACTGGAATCCGGAAGAAAAACGAAAATGTATCAGAAGAACAAAAACATACTTAAAATGTGCACTTGAATAAAAAACAGTGAAAACAAGAAATATTTCTGGTCTATGTTCAAAGATAGGTGCGACTATTGTCTTCTATATCTGTTGTGGAATTATCCATGTGTCTATATTTAAAATGATTCATACAGTAGTCCTAGAACTTCTAGAAGACTCCATTTTTGCGTGTACCCCGACGAGATTCTTTGCACCGTATAACTAAACAAATCACAAGATCGACAATGTTTATTCACTTTGATTAGAAAACTTGTAGAAACAAAAATTCCGTTTTACAATGCTCGTGTCCACCAGAAATAGTGTGTTACTGGCGTAGGTGGCGGTGCAGTTGTAACTAAACAAACGTTACGCGTAAAATCATTTTCTTCGAAGGGACATCAAAAAAGATCCGTGAGGCATGATGGTTCAAACAAAAATGATCTGTAGCATTGCGATTTTTTAGAATTGAAAGACATAAATACAGAAAAAATTTGCTGTTTTCCTGTTGCCAAGTGGATTGGTGATAAACACAGAACAAAGAGTAACCCACTGAAATTAAAAGATTACAAAACAAAAATTTGTATTGATAATGATAAACAACAGCAACAAGAACAGGAAACATCATTAACTAATAAAACTGATAAACAAAAATAGAGCAAGTCGATAAATTATCGACGCTGACAGACTTAAATAAAAACGAAATATTCTGTAGAGCAAAAATACGAAAGAACCCGAAATTGACAAATGATGGACAATCGTATTGTCGAGTACAAGGACCGAATAGTAAGTGATCAAATACTTATACATGGAAACCATCAACACAAGATCCAAATATTAAAGTGATTATAATGTCACTCAATAAATTCGATATTTGTGATGTAAGTCTGATATAAGTTCCAGTTATCATTGCGATTAAAAATTAGAGGAATTTCTATTTTTAATTTAGATACAATCGTTGTGTGTGTGTGGCATGATGGTAAAGAGAAAGATGCTTATTTTTGTGATTAGTTTGAATTATCTGATCCATTCTCAGCAAAGGTTATTTGGTAGACATATAACTTTCTAAAATATGAAGTGTATCTTACGCTTATTACATGGGTCTTTTAGTTTTCGTGTCAATAATCACATCCAAGCGTCATTATCTGTAATAAATGTAAAGAAATTAACGAAAAAACCAAATTTTAGCTGTGCTGTAAAACAGAATTTTGTAGAAAATCAAATAACCTATAAACTAATAATAACTACCGGTTCTAAAACAGCACCTCCACAATTAATCGGACGTGTTCATATCATGTTGATAGGTGGTAATGGACAGTTAGGTCCATTTGAATTAACAAGAGCAAAAATATGGAATATACAACCGGGTACAACAGATGTTGATTATAATCATATCAGGTAGACAGATTATTTTAAAAATAATAGTCTTGCATAGAATTACTTTTCTCGCGTTGAATGTATAAGGAGTGAATTAATTGCAGGCTTTGAATCGAGAGGGAAAAATGTTACTTAAAGCGTGTCGACTGAAAATGTGAAAGTGAGCAATGTTCCTTTAAGTATTCAAATGCTACTCAATTGCCTGGAAGAACTGCAATGTAAAGCATAGGTCTATTTTCTTTGCTTTTGATAAAATAGTATTATACACTTCTTTTAACTAAAAATGAAACACGACGTTAGTATCTTGATCAGAGATCCCAGACCTTCTAATTTTGGCAGAAAACTTCTGATTTTTGGATTTTTTTTTGGATTTGAACTGAAGTTTGACTCATAGCGCATGTATCGTATAACATTCATATCACTTTCTGTTCCAGTAGTGTGGAACAATGATATTCCAATAGTTCGTCTTCTTTGTATAGATCCTTATCTCAGAAACTGCTCATTCTTCGATCGATTACAGTAGTCTACGAGTTTAGGCGTACTTTGTACATACGAGCGCTCGAGAACTCGGAAAAATTCTGAAGTTTTCTGCACTTTATTTCTAGTCATAGAATAACTTAAGAGAAACATCTCCCAGGACGGGAAGAATCTGGTGTGTTTTAGAGTTGTCTGAAACGGATTGTTTTTGAGAATGTTTATCACAGATGCATGAGCATATGTTGTGGTCGTAATTCAAATTCGTTTAAATTTAAAATTTTTATTGTTTAAAAAGGTATAATTAATTATATGAGCACCAAAAAATTCGTATTCTAATTTTTTTTTTGATTTTGAACTCATTTTTTCTGATTTTCATCTTTTGGATCCATGACTTTGATTATTTTTAGTTATCATCTTGCAGGCATTGTGTGAATCGTTTTTGTTTCATTTTAGAGGTGAATGGATTTTGAATGGTGATAGTAAACATTTGAATGATGCTAAAAAACAAATTCAAGAATTTTATAAAGATTTAGTTATTAATATTGAAAAAGTATCATTATAAGTCTGTTATTAAATATATTTACTTATGAGAATTTGGGTGATAAATCATTTTTCTGTGTTATCCAATGAGAACGTTCTTTTTTATCGGTGACTTTTTTTTATGATACTTTTAATCGCTTTATCGCTTGATGATCTGTTTGTTATCTATGTATGAGCGTTTTTTGGATGTTTTTTCTTATTCTTGTTGTTCTTTTTTACACGTACAACGTTTTATCTCGTATTTTAACTATTTGAACCCTTTTACTGACGAGAAATAAATATTTTCCATTGAACAATTAGTAGAAGAAACATTTGAACATACTCATGTGAACATTTATCGTATCTATTAGTTATTTATTTGCAAACAGGTCTATCCGTACGATTAAGGACTCCCCCTCCCCAGGCCAGAAATGCCGATTTTCGTCAAAAATATCGATTTGAAAAAAGCACATGGTTGGATAGCCCAAAGCGTCTACTATCAGAATTCAATGCTATTTGATCCTCACCAAAGGGGTACGGGGGCTTTTAGAAAAGTTTTCTGAAGACCTCGAAAAGCTGACTTTCGAAAAATATTTACTTTCCGATAAAGAAACAAATTCAAAAGTACTTTCAATAACACCAGGAAATAGAGCAAACATGTCCGATCAAAATGAGATATCTCCCAGCTCTGAATGATGTTCTGATCAAGAGTTATGAGAGTTTTGCTGGAAGCCCTAAAACATGCATGAGATATTGGCACCACCATATCTCGAAGTGACTTTCACCGTAACATCGTTTGATAGCTGCATGATTTCTCGGGAACGAAACATCAGAGAAAAAAAATTTTTGTTTTTGATTTGTAGATAACACCCGAAAATAAACAGTTGATTTAGTTTTAGCAAAAATTCTTTTAAGCAACAGCTCCTCCAAAAATTTCAACCGCTCATCCGAAAAACAAAACCTGGATAAAACACTGGTCGGGGCCGTATAAACACACTTGATCCCGATCCAGTTCTACGAATCAGCTTGAAATTGAATCTTTGGTGCGATGTATCGAACGCTGGCTTTCAAACCAACGAGAACAGATACTACACTTTGATCTTAGCCGAAAAGGCAGAGATGCGGTAAACTTCAACAACGTAATTGAAGAACAACTCACGACTAAGATGTGCTGATTTGCCGCTTTCACTAGAAGTAGTGAACATAACACCAGCATCACTTATAAACTAGATTGAAAACGTGCAAAAAAGAAGTGCTCGCTACAGTGCTTCTTGATCAAAATTTAATGACGAATCTTCCGAAATAGATATTGGACTTCACAGAGAAGTCATGAATAAAGTAGTCGATACTACATAGAATTATGTGAAAGACTAAACTCTGACAGTAAGGCTGTATAAGTCCAGCAATAGAATACGAAATTAGTCAAATGGTCAAGTCTAGGTCGTGTTCCTAATGACAATCGAATTATGTTTATTGCAGACGTGTATGTACATTATATTTTTTTGTACTCACTCACATAGAATCACTGCTCGACTTTCTTGGCGTTGTTCTTGTAAGACTCTTGCCTCTTGCCATTTCAGACAAGAATCTTAGTGATTTTAATGGTTACTATGTAAAGGATGTTGTAAACTCTCAAACATTATTCAAAACGTTTTGGGTTCTATTACTGCAGTGAATTATTTTTTTTTTATTAGCAGAATATTTAATTATGGAGCAGAATAATCTACTTGGAGTTCTTGCACGAAGTGTGAGAGTCAGACTAGGTAAAGGATTTTATAAGTTCTCTGTCAACTTGACTGTCTAATATGTTCCCTCGTATTTAAGAATCTAGATGCCATGCAGTTGATTGTTATAGCCGTCAAAAGCGAAAACATATTACCATTCAAAATATTCAGGTAACTAATGAAACAGATGGTGATACACATACTGAAAATGATATATGTATATCTTTAGAATTATCACTAGCGTTACTCTGTTCTACTAGGCTTATTAGAAAGATAACCGATCCCATCCGATTAATCAATCGGATGAGGGGTTCGGTATCAATAACGTTATTTGGGTACAATTACATAATGAATTGATAGAACATTCATCATAACACACACAATAGAACCAAAGTAAAAAATTACTCATTTTGTTATTATTGAATGAATAAATAGATATGACAATTCATAATATTCCCAGTATAGAACCACAAAATTTCGCTCAGATAGAATAAATAAATTAATAAACAACGTTACATAAGCAAGACTCTTAGCTGAATTCACAAGAAAACTATTCAAGATTCTTGTTATAATAGCTTTCATAAAAAAACAAAAAAGATAAAAGCAAGGTTCATGTCTAGAATCTTGCATGAAATGGGACAAGAAAGTCGAGCAGTGACTTTGATCATCAACAAGAAAGAGTACATAGTCTAATATAAAAATATATTTTCAAATTATTTTCTTATTCTTTTTTTGTTGTATCGTTTTGCTGTAAAGAAAGAAAAGAGAGACACACACTAAGCCATACCCTTGACAGCACACACACACCTCCTACTGATCATTCGTTGTTTGCATGATCAAAACAAGTATCGAGTGCTTTTCTAGCTATATTAAATACATGCACACAACTATCTCATTCATTCATTCATTTGAAACAATACACTATCGTCGAAAAAAATAACAACAGCAACAACTTCTGATGGCCTCAATTCCGTATTGTATGAATGTATGTCGTTGTGCAGATGAAAAAGTACGTCGTGATAATTCAGATTCATCGACATCGCCAACAACTGGTGTAAGCTTTTTTGGACATTTATTTTCATTTGGCAGTTTCAATAATAGTCACAACAGTCAAACTAGTCAAAACAAGAATAACAATGATGCACATAGATCAGAAGATATTAGTGAAATTTTAACATAGAATGATTTAATTCGAATTATGGCTTATGTCAGATATTTTGTATCATTTTTTTCAATCGGGAAAGGAACGAATGATCATTTATGTAAAGTGAATAATGTTTGTACGTTCGGTTTTTGTCATGTTGTATGTTTCTATCAGAAATATATGAGGATAAACAAACACACAGTATGGAGGCTTGGTTTATTTGAACGAAGTAGTTTTTGTATGGAAACTATATCTAGCCCCTATGTATGGTTTAGAACTCTTATGACAAATAGATCAGTTTAATTAATATTACTATAAGTTGAAGCCGATCGTGTCCTAATCAGTTAAAACTTTAATACCCTGAAACTATATAACTTCAGTTTATATTCGCTGAACAGCGAGAAAGTATGATGAAAATCTTCCAAAGCATATTTCACTGTAAAGTAGAAAATACATTAGGGCAATTTCCTAGGAGCTCATATATGCAACCATCTATTTTCTGGAATAGAAGATTTTCAAGGAAATGATGTCTATAACATAAATGCCAGTAAAGATATTGTTGCGGAGTACAGATTTTATTAAGCTGATCCATTGTCAGTCTGATTACATTTCAAGATCGATTGTTTGCATTCGACTTATGTGTCTCCATAGCGATTCGCTCAAAAACATGTTTATTGGCAATAGCACGGAACGGATAGTAGTTTTGGTCTATACTGATACGCAGCCATGTCGCACAAGTACCGCCTTACGAAAAAAACTTTCAACATGGCACTGTCAGTGCCGTACTGGAAGATTTTTTGTGCTTGAATCATACATACTATTATGAATATCCCATCTTCATTGAATTGTGACACTGTTTTAAATCTATCATGCACAATATTTGTTTAAGTATTCCGAAAGTAATTGCAAAACATGTTCAAAAATCAACTTCTCGACTTTTCAAATTCTACAATTCAAATAGCGATACTCAACAATGATACTCTTAAAAAAACAGTCAAGAGGAATGTCAGAGTTTCTACATTTCAGACATTTTACATAGATTCCACAAATTTCCATCTACCAGTGAGCGAGACATCGTAATACATCTCCCTAGAAGTCTAGCAAATATATAGAATTTTATGTACCTACTATTTTAATCTGTTTTCTTCAAGTGAGAGACGAGCTGAAATGTGCTTTAGTGGCTCACTTTCATGCTCTCCACGCACCACTTCTCCGCTTCCAGTCACACAAAAATATACTATACTGAAGTAGCAATTTCACGTGGAATTCTTCTGAAATTCCGCCGAAATTTCCGATTTTGCAGTAAATTATGATTTTTAAGACTAATATTCTCCAGTACAAAAAGAAAATCAGTAATCACATACACTACGCAAATAATCACGATTATCTTTAATCATGATTAAAAGATAATCGCGACTAAACATTTTCTAGTGTAACCGCAATTTTTTTGGATCGTGATTAACGATATTTAATCACGATGAACAGAATTGTGTGTAACCGCACTAATCACGATTAAAAAGATAATCGTGATTTAACTCGTACCTATTACTATAAATACTCACTGTGCAGGAGAGAACTCATTTTTGTGTTGGCAAGATTAAAGTCAATACAGTAACACTTTTTAATCTGATCAATAGATTTATTGACATCGGCTGCTAATAAACCCTTTTTGTACTTTTTTCCCGGCGTCACGATTCCGAAGACTAGCTATTTCATTCAATATCTTTTCACCTTTTAACAAATTTAGCAGCAAGTTTGTTTCTTCCTCAGACCACCACGATCTTTTCACCTTCGTTTTATTCTCGTAACTCTGCGTAGTCATTTTTAATAGAAAATTATTATTATAAAATTATTACTTAATTATTTATTAATCTGTAAAAGAGTATGGTAATGCCAGAAAAATTCTTCAGTAGGCAAAACAACGTTCAGCTGATTAGTTATTGCAGTTGAGCAGTCATATGCAAGCGCCGCTATCATGATCCTTTTTTCGATAGAGACGATTGAAGTTACTCACGATTAAATTTAATCTCGATTAAAGACAATCTTCTTCCGAACATGATTATCTTTACTCATAATTTTCCAAATAATCGTGAGTAAAGTAGCGGTTACACTACTAGTTTAATCAACTCTTATTTCTTACTATTGTTACGCTAAATAGGACAACACAGCTAAGTA